GAGGAGGGGGGTAAATAAAACAATTAGAAATATATAATCAACAAATCTTTGTCAAAGATGATTCGATTTATATTATTTATTATCAACAAATTTTATAAATTATCGTGAATTGAGCTATAATCGTGAATTGGGCAATAATCATTTTTTTCTTTATTCATGCAGTTAAAAATTAATACTAATTTAATTAAAAACACTATCTATTTAATTAACTTAAACCATGTCATCATTTTTTTAAGACATGCCATAATTTTAAACCAATAGAATTAAAACAAATAAGCCTTTTTACTAATTGTACTCTTCCCTTTTAATAGTAAGACATACATTACATTTAATTATTTTTGTTGAAACCAAATAAAAAATATTTAGACATCACAAAAGTTATAAACTGAACCAAGCTTCCCTTTCAAAACAAAATTATCCAAGTGAACTTAAGAGAACGATTGAAACAAAATTTAAAAATTATGAATGATTAGAACATAATTTAAGATAGCGATGAACTTAAAGAATTGAACTACCTTTTTGTTCGTGTTCTTCTTCCATTGATAACATGTGAAAAAAAAGAGATTTAAGGAAACAGTTATGGAAATGATGAAGTAGTAAATTGAAAGTATGAGAGTGTTGGTACTTACTTGAATAATGGGGGGAAATACACTACAAGAAAACAAACAGTATTCCGACGGAATTTCCGATGACCAAAATTTCCGTCGGAATTTTCTGACGGTATCCCGACGGATTTTCGAACAAAATGAATCCGTCGGAATTTTTTGACGGATTTCCGATGGACACGGAAACCGTTGGTATTCCGTCAGAAATCCGTCGGGACATGACGACGGATTTCCGACGGAAATAAGCTGTCGTAATTTCCCGACGACTTTCCGACGGAATAACGACGGAAATCTGATTTTTCCGATGTCGGCAACGTTTGATTGGTCAGCTCATACCGACGGAACTAATTCCGTCGGAAATTCGATGTCGGCAAATTTGAGTGGTTACCATTTCGTTAGCGGTGGCCGATGGGATTGGTGGGGTGTTATATCGGAGGTTTGTGA